TCCGGCGATCCTTCCGCCTCAGCCTTCTGAGTAGCCGGAATTACAGGCATGCGCTACCACGCCCGGCTGATTTTTTGATTTATTGTAGAGATGAAGTCTCGCCTGCCCAGGCAGGTCTCGAACCCGCGGGCTCAGGCAGTTCACTCACCTCAGCCTCCCAAAGTCACGGGATTACAGGCTGAACCACCGAGCCCCGCTTACCAGAGTTTTTTAAACAAACAAGTGTTGTAGGATTTTCTTCTAAATGAGCTTACTATCAGGTCAGTGTTGACGTATTGGTGCTGTTTAAAATAACCCATTTTCACTAAAAGTGTATGAAATTTACTGCATATTCTTCATCTTGGAGATTTTCATCTACTTTGTCAAAGACTTGTCACATTCCATTGGGAATAGAATGCGAAAGCAATCACAAAAGAAACCTGTTTAACTCCATCTAGCAAATTCAAAAAGGAAAAAGAGAACTTGAGAAAAAGAAATGCTGTTTGTTAGAAAGTGGAGTTGTTTTAACAGATGCCAACTACAGTTTACACTGTGATGGAGTTTTCTGATTTATTAGAATAAATATTAATTAGAGTTCAACTAACGTGAATGTCACTTGATTATTCGTGAGGATTCTAAAATGATATATGAGAAGATCCTGTCATGACTCTTAGAGCTGGTATCCCCTGTGAATGAATCCTTTGAGTTTAGACCTTGAAAATATGTGAAAGCACAAAGTAAATGTCTGTTTGCTTTAAAATTTTCATGTTGGATTTGTCATTATCAAAAGTGACCAGCAATGAAAAACTGGTCAAACAAAATTTAATATGTAAGTAATGAAATTCAAGATGTAGGTTTTTCACTGGGTCTTTTCATGTGCAGATTTCAGTCCTAATTCATTTTAATAAAAAAGGAACTTGGAAAGTATGGTTTGTGTATTGCTTTCTTGAGTGGATCCAGAGATTTCTAATGGTAGATGGTGTAATTTGAGCTTATGTTATTTATTTATTACACTGCTTTCTCATCATTAAAGTGTCCATTGTATGAAAGTAATACAAAATCAATATCAACATCTGCTTCCTTCAAGTAGGCTACTTTCTTTTTTAGATCCTTAGTTTTTCAGATCTGAAGTTGTCAAGGCATCCAAGTCATAATATACACACTGGAATAACCGCCACAGGCAAACCTTACTTTTTCTGATGTACTCCTAAATGTACATGTGCCAAAATCAGTTTTTGTTAAATCACACACAAGAGGCTTACAATTTAAACAAGACTATACAGTATATTTCTTTTGGAGGAAATAATCTCATTTTTTTGAAAACCTGATTTTTATCCCACATTTTAAAAATTCAAATTATTCAAACCAATCGAATTTAATACTTTACTGTTGTCACACTTGCAACTTTGTTATCTGTTATTTTTCAGTATTTCCCTTTGCCAAACACATAAGTGATAGGCTATAAGTTCTCACCACATCAAGTTCTCATCTTTGCTAAAAAATAAGCCTTCTCAACCCCACAGGACACTCAAGCCTAGTGATGAAACGTTTTCTATCTCCCCTCCTCTCATAAAAAATGTCCTTGGAAGAATTCTCATCACACTTCCACCTTCTCATCTCCATTGGTCCTTCAACTCCTGTGATCTGATTTCCATCCCTACCACTCCTGAAGGACACCTGTCAGGGTCACTAATGACTTGACTTTGTTGACCACAGTCCCTTGGCAAAGGTCCTTTGAGGCTCCTAAAGTATCCCTCTCCTGTGTCTTCTTGGGCTCAGTGATCTATTCCTTCCCACACTTATCTTCTCTCCTATTGAATTAAGTTAATGGTCACATTTCTCTCCTAGTCCACCCCTCAATTTCTCCTTTGGTGACTTAATTTACTCATAGCTTCGCCTGTCCCCCACGCCTCTCATGACTTATATCTCTAGTCATGGTAGAGCTTTAGCCACCAAGTGCCCACCTGGATGTGCCTGACTCAGAGGTGGCAATCTTTCTCTAAAGAGGATCAGACAGTAACTATATTTGACTTCGTGGGCCATGTAGTTTGTGTCTCCTGATGAGCATTGTTTATATTCCAAAAAACTTTGCAAAAACATGCCACATGGGCCACTGCCCCCTGCTTTAAATGGCTGCCCTTTCCTGCACACATCCCCTGGTTCTTCCCACTGTGTTTCCTTTCTTGAATTGCCCCACTTTCACTGTATCTACCACTTGAGTCAGGAATTCAGCCAAGTCTGCTTCCTCTCTCCCTTCCACCCTTGGTCACCAAACCTTCCTCTCTATTCACAATGACCCTACCTTCTAACAGTTTTCATAATGTCTTTTGGCTAGTGTGGGATTCCACCCCTCTTTCTTTTTTGCTTCCAGCCTCCTGTGTTTTGGCTGGACATATGCTATTCCATGGGGACTACATTTCCCAGCCTCCCTTGCAGCTAGGTGTGGCCAAGTGACTAGGCTTAGGCCAGTGGCAAGTGAGTGAAGTCTACTAAGACAAAGCTGTGGATTCTAGACTTACTCCCCTGGAAATGGCAGCCGGCAAACAAACCTTAGAAAAGCCATGTGCTAAATCTGAAGAATCGCCTGGCACAAACCTGGAAGGCCAGTTCATGGTAGAGAGGGTCTTTTGTTTCAGCAGCTCAACCTGTACACAGCTTGCTCGGTTACTGTACCAGCTTGCCCACCAACTTCCCTGTGAACAGCCTGGCATCATCACCAGTCCTTTCTCAACACTGCAATTAGGTAAGTCTTTTGCAGTGCAGAACTGATGAGGCCATACTCCACTTAAAGATGGACAAGCAGCCAGGCCCAGTGGTTCAGCCTATAATCCCAGCACTTTAGGAGGTGAGCGGATTGCCTAAGCCCACGGGTTCAAGACCAGCCCAGGCAACTTGGCGAGACCTCATCTCTACAATGAATAAAAAATTAGCCAGGAGTGGTAGCACGCACCTGTAGTTTCAGCTATTGAAAGGCTGAGGCAGAAGGATCGCCAGGGCTCAGCAGGTCGATGCTGGGGTGGTTGTGAGCGTGCCACCGCACTCTGGCCTGGGCAATGGAGTGAGACTTCAACCAAAAAAAAAGATGGACAAACAAATAAGAAAATAATAGAAACTGCTGCTTTTAAAAGGATTAAAGCAAGATGAAGTGATAGAGTAATGGAAGAGCTCCTTCACATTGGACAGAGAAGACTTGCAAAGGTGGCAGAAAGGAACCAGGCATGTTCAGGGGAAAGATTTCCAGGCAACTAGTGCAAAGCCCTCAAGACTTGACTTGTTCTACAAAGCAAAAGGGAGAAAAGTGTGATTAGACGTCTTTTGGTTAGTTCCATTCCAGGGTAAAATCGAACTCACTAGGGAGATGGAAGAGATTGACCATAACCTCAGAGCAGCAGGATGGTAGCAGGTTGCTCCTTGCTCAAGACACCATTGTGGGTGGGAGATGGGGGTCAGAGCTGAGTTCCACCTACCCTCCTCTGACCATGATGTGGAACCTGGCTTGGGGTGCCATTTACTTCAGAGGCTCTGGGAGCTAGCTGAAACACACACAGACCACGCCTCTACCCTAAGAATTGGCACAAAGGGCTATGTGAGTTGGTGCTGGGACTGCAGATTCCCACCCAGGGTCACTTCTCCAGTCTGTCTCTCCTATGGCCTTACCCTTGACATTTCAGTAGTCCATGAGTCTGCACTCCTGAAACACCCCTTTACTGGAGGCATTGTTCTGTTTGCCTTAGGAAGCTGTTCTCTAGACAAGAGCAGTGGCTCACACCTGTAACCCCAGCAGCTCTGGAGGCTGAGGCAGGAGGGTTGCTTGAGCCGAGGAGTTTAAGACCAGCTTGGAAACATCAGAGACTCCATCTCCACATAAATTTTTTTTTAAAAAGAAATTAACCAGGCCAGGTGGTGCCTATCTGTAGTCCCAGTTTCTTGAGAGGCTGAGGTGGGCTATGGCTCGAGCCCAGGAGTTCAGGGGTACAGTGAACTGCACTCCAGTCTGAGTGACAGTGAGACCGCCATCTCTAAAGAAAAAAAGGAAACTTGCTTTCTACCTTCTTAACCTGACACGTTGACTGACTTGCTTGAAGATTTGGGACCACTTCGAAGCTGTTCCCCACTAGGGTAAGTGGCACCTTATTGAAAGGCTGTCACACTGCTGGACACACAGAGACTACAGACACTCAACCTGGCTTTAGTTCCAGTCCCACTGGGTCTTCTTGGGACTCGGGCTATCAAAGGGAGGCTGGCAAGGCACCGATGGCCCCATGCAGGATTGCCAGATACAATTCCTCATATTCCACCTGGCCACCCAATGTCTGCCAACCTAGCCCTAACAGTAAATTGCCACCTCTAGTCCACTCTCTCACAGTGCCCTCTGAGAGAGTCACAGAAAGACAGTTATGACCATACCAAAATATGATTCTTGATGCAGACTCAAATTTTCAATTCCCTGTGTTTTATAACATTTTTATTTGCTTTTTGAAACTCCATACCACTCACACCTGTAATCCCAGCACTTTGGATGGCAGAGGCGAGAGGACTGCCTGAGCCCAGGGATTGGGGACTAGCCTGGGCAATTTGGCAAGATCTTGTCTCTACGATAAATCAAAAAATTAGCCAGGCATGGTGGCGGGTGCCTGTGGTTCCAGCTATTTGGAAGTCTGAGGCAGAAGGGTCACCTGAGACCAGCAGGTTGAGATGGCAGTGGCCATGAGCGTGTCACTGCATTCTAGCCTGGGCGACAGAGTGAGACTCCAACTCGAAAACAAAAACAAAAAAAGTCTATATCAATATTTAAAATCATTTTTTTCTGTGGTACAGTTTAAATTCAGTGTTATTCCAGTTGAACTTTAAATAGAATCCATGGTCTAAAATAGACTTTAAATCCCAGCATGAACTCATATTTTACATGTTATTGACTGTCATTTTGTTGGTGCAATTATCAGGGAAAAGAGCCCCGTGGAGGCCAAACCAGGTGACTCTCAGCTCTAAGGTGGGGTGGAGCTCTCCATGCCCCTTGTGGACATAGCACACACCCTTACACTATTTTTTTTAAACCTCAGAGTCTTTGCATTTTCTAGACCACATCACAAGACAAGGGCTCACAAGACTCTGGCATCCTCTGGATTAGCTAAACCCATGACATCCCCCCAAGATGGGGACCCCCAGGAGCAGGGAAGAGCCTCAAGGCAGCTCCAGGCTCTGAGCTCCAAATCTCACTTTCCAGAGTTTGTATGCCACACCTTGGCCTCTCCTAAATGTTGACAAAGAAGGCTGTCCCCTTTTAAGGACCAATTATAGAGTAAGTTCCTTTGGGTTGGAAAAATGCAAAACCCTCAACCCCAAAGCTGTGTGTACTGCTTTGTGTATGACACAGACAGGGATAGGGCAGAGTGTCCTGCTGCTCTCAGGAAAGCTGTTCCCTTTGCTTGTGGGAGGCCGCCCCTGTGGTGACTCCACTCTTGCCAAGCACTACGTGTCCAGGTTTGCGTCCGTCTGTGGTTTCGTTTTGCTGCACACCCCGCCCGTCCTTGCAAAGAAAGAGTCTTTAGTGCAGCCTCCTTTAAAGGGCGACTTGTACCCCTTGCCTTCTCTCTCGGTGCAGAGTTACAGGCAGGTTGTTCAGAACCTCACCATGAAGTTCATCCTCTGTCTCCTGCTGGTGGCCTTGTCCTGCTTGGGGACTTTGGGGCAGGAACTGAGGCAAAAGCAAGGAAGCGCCAGGCAAGAATTTTATTTCCAGACTCGAGACAGACATTTCTGCACTGTGCACACCAGCAGCTTGGGGCAAGGCTCTGGGGAAGTCCAGCTTCGCGCCGACTGCCACAGTGCAGACCAGGCATATTGGTGTGAGTACCGCGGGCAGCCTACCACATGCCAGGCCTTTGCTGCCGATCCCAAAACTTACTGGAACCAAGCCCTGCAGGAGCTGAGTCGCCTTAGCCACGCATGCCAGGGGGCCCCTGTGCTGAGGCCATCCATCTGCCAGAAGGCCGGGCCCCAGGCACACATGCAGCAGGTAGCTTCCAGCCTGAAGAGCAGCCCGGCGCCTAACCAGCCCTCTGAGACCGCCACGGTTGGAAAGCCATCTTCGAGGCCCGGGGCCCTGCTGAGACCCACAAAAGCAACGCCACGGGAAAAGGGCTCCATGACAACACTGGGAAAAGCCGAACCCGCCACCCAACCCACGGCCAAGGCTACCCAGCCTGGACCCAGGTCCAGAGAGAAGGAGGAAGTGAAGAAGATGATCCAAGAACTCTGTTGGGGGCCCCTCCAGGCCCTGTGCACGTTTCTCCTCAGCTTCTTCTGAGAGTGAAAAGGTGAAAGACACCCCGCAGGTAATGCGCCTGCCTTTACTCACATAGAGAGACTCACTGAGGGGCACTGAGCACTTAAATGACTGCCGTGACCACATCAGACTCCCAGCACGTGTTTGGGGGTGGGTTTGAGGTGCTGTGCTGCAGAGGAAAGTGGATGAGAGAGCCCAAGGACATCAGCGGTGTCCCTCCACCCTGGTGACATGCAAGGGCCACCTAGGGAGAGCACTTAACATGCTGATTCCCAGGCCCCACAACAAACCTTTTAATCGGTGTCTCTAGGGTAGGGGCCCAGGAATGTGCACTTTAAAAAAATCTCTCACAAGTGATTTGACAATGCAGCCAGGGTAGAGAGTCTCTGTGTGACGGGACCAACTCACTCTTACACAGAGGCCCTGGGAATCTGGTTGGAGGCTTTTTCTACTGAACCAAGTTTTTGCTGCAGCTCTTTGTGGCCAGGGTGAGAGATACAAGTGGTTCCCATGGGCACTTGAGTTTTTACCACAACTAGGTGTGTGCTTTATACCTTGCACTCTTCGGTGCTCACAATGAGCCTGAACAGGGAGACACGTCTCTCAGGGCCTGGAAACCTGGGTTCGAGGCCCCAGTTTGCTGCCGAGGGACTGTCTCATGGTGGAGAGCTCACCTCACTCCCTCTCTTTCTCAGTTTCCTCTCCTGTAGCTGAGTTAGGGTGAGGGGCGTTGTGCAGGGAGGAAGCCTTGGGTCATATAATCTTCAAAGTCTTTCCCACAGCTCTCAAAGTCTTTAATCACTTTTTTCACTGAAGCCAGAAAACTAATTAATAGCAGATTTAATCAACTCCAAGTATTGCTTTCAGGAGACCAAACTTTTTCTCTTGTGAAAACAAAGAAAATTTATTACTGATTTCTGTCCAGTAGGTGATTTCAGCACCTTCCTTTAATTTTATACACCAGGAAAATCTTAATGTACATGGAATTCTAGGCTTATTTGTGCACTTTGAGTTTAAAAAGAGAGTTTCTGAGATTTTTCATATTATTTATGCCAGAACAGATTTTCTGGTAAATAACACTTTGATAACTAATGCTGTAAAACAAATCGGCTTTTTTCTGAAAGTGCCAGGGCAGTGGAAAATTCCAGAGTTGGTTTAGTGTCTTTTGGGCTGGAGGTTTCCTGCTTGTTTAATATTCTAGATCTGTCCCAGTGGAGAAAATGAGCCACTGGGACAGAAAATAGATAATTACTGTTGAGGAGAGAGCCTTGTTTTGTTTTTCCTTCAAAGGCAGATTTTAAAATTTGCCTTCGGTGAAATAAAACATGGACATTATTTTTAAAAACCAAAAACAACCTAAAAGTACATACTATGAAGAAAGCCATAATCCCATCAACCAGAGGCAAATAATGTTCACAGTTACAGGAGTAACATTTAGACATCCATTTATACATATTTATGCAGACAGTTGCATAGTTTACAAACAGATACAAACAGACTGCTGAACATTAGAACATTGTCTTGATCCGGTAGGAAGGCTGCATGTGACTCCTGTTGGGGCTTGCTTGGGTTGCCATAGAAAAATACCACAGACTGGGTGGACTAAACAGCAGAAATATACTTTCTTACAGTTCTGGAGGCTGAAGGTTTAATATCCAGGTGTTGGCAGGTTTGGTGTCTTCCAAGGCCTCTTGGCTTATAGATGGCTGCCTTCTTACTGTGGTCACTCTGTGTGTATCTATGTCCTACTCTCCTCTGCTTCTAAGGACACCAGTCATATTGGATTAGGGCCCATCATTTAAACTTAATCACCTCTTTAAAGGCCCTATTGTCAAATATAGACACACTCTGAGGTACTGGAGGTTAGGACTTCAACATAAAGTTTTGGGGAGGGTCATACTTCAGCCCATAACAACTAACAAGTAATTTTTGTAATTTTACATTCCTTCCTTTTTTTTTTTTTTTTAGAACAGACCTCTCCCAGACAGAGAACAATCTCCTTCTGAGTTGTGACGCTTTCAATCAAATGTTCTCATATTGGATGAAGGGAATTTCTTCTAATCAGTTCCAACTGCACACGTTCTTGATCTGCAACGTCACTGAAGATTGGAAAAGAAACCTTTCTTTCTGGCGTTTCCAGAGTTAGTGATACCATAGGGAACAAATGCTGATGGACCCAAGAGGGACTAGTATGCACGTCTATTTTCTATCTTTAGAAGTTTTGCTTTGTTGGTCTGAGCCTTCTATGAAAGTTAAAATATGCAACACGTTCAATAATTTCCATTTGCACCATCTGAACAAGACATGAATTTGTCACAGTTCTTTGCATAGCAACATAGACTGGTAATTAGAGAAAGCCCATCAAATATAACACCTATATGTGTGAAAAATAAAGGGACAACTCCAAAAATATGACTCTCATCTTCGTAATGAACAACAGACCTAGATTGTTACCTAGATGCTATAGATATTATAGATATCAATTTAGTCACTGTATTATCTTCATAGGGCTGCCTTAATGAATTACATAAACTAGGTGACTTGAAACAACAGAAATGTGTTCTCTCACAGTTATGGAAGGTAGGAGTTCAAAATCAAGTTGTTGTTGATATAGTTTGGATGACTGGCCCCTCAAAAATCTCATGTGGAAATCCCCAGTTGGAGGTGGGGCCTAGTGGGAATTGATTGGGTGATAGGGGCAGATCCCTAATGAATGGCTTGGCACCATTCTTGCTGTAATATATGAGTTCACACAAGAGTGGTTGTTTAGAAGAGCCTACCACCTCCTCTCTCTCTTGCTCTCACTCTTGCCATGTGACATGCCAGCTCCCCATGCCTTCTGCCACAAGAAAATCTTCCTGAGGCCTCACCAAAAGCTAAGCAAATGCCAGCACTGTGCAGAACTGTGAGCTTAAAACCTTTTTTCTTTATAAATTACCCACCCCCAAGTATTTCATTACTACAACACAAAAGTGACTGATATAGTCATCAAGGTTAGTTCTTCCTGGAGGGTCTCAGGGAAAATTGGCTCACCGCCTCTCTCCCAGTTTCTTAAAGTTGTTGGCAATCCTCGATGCTCCTTGTCTTGTAGGCATATCACTCCCATCCTTGTCTCTGTCTTCACATGGAGTTTTCCTTTGTGTATGTCCTTTGTGTGTTCAAAATTTCCTTTTATAAGATACCGGTCACTGGATTAGGGCCCATCCTAATCAAGAATGACCTCGTCTTAATTCCACTACACCTGCAAACACCCTATTTCCAATAAAGTCGTATTCACAGGTTTTGGATGGGCGTGAATTTTGGGGGGACACTTTTCAGCCCAGCACAGTCACCTCAAAGCCATAGCAAACAGCCAAAAAGAGAAGTGGACCTGGAGGAGAGTGGCACTGTACACTCACAATTAAATCAACAAAGCTGGAAAGGATAAAAAGGATCTTAGGCATAGGCACAAAGTGACTCATTCCTTTTCCAATTTTGTTTTGGTGTTACCTAAGAGCACATTAATAATCCACTATTTGTGTACTTAAAATATCTTCCCATCTAACCCAGTGATGTACAATCCCAACTACATAATAGAGTCACCTGGGGGAACTTTTACAAAGTACTAATGCCTGGGTCCCACCCCCAGGGATTATGGTGCAACTGGTCAGGGCTGGGGTGTGAGCATGTATAATTTTAAATTTCCCCTAGTGATTCTAATCTGCAGCCAAAGTTGAGAAACATGGCTCTAGTGAATTAAACCAATATTTCTGGGGTGTGTGTTCCATGTAATTTCCTGGTAATTTTATGCAACCTGGGTCGAAAACTAATAATTGGACTTAATAAATATCAATTCATCATATGCTAAGTCCCAAGCACTGTGTAAGACACTGGATGGGGAGAGATAAGCTAACTGACTAGGTCCCCCTCCTAAGGGCTCAGAGAAGTGGTGGAAATCGAGGTGACATATTGATGAGTGTGTGAGATGACGCAGTAGGGTGTGAGGAGTTTTGCTGGAGTTGAATTTCTAAAATACACACACACACACACACACACACACACACACACACACACACACACACACACATTAAGTATCTACTATAATGCATGTAACAAGCTTGTTTCTCATAAAGGAAACAAGCTTGTGCCTTTCACTTGTCCTCTCATATAATCCTCACCACATTCCTGTAAGGTAAGTAGTCTTATTCCCTATTATAATCTAAGGAACTTGAAAGCCTGGAGAGGTGAATTCTCTACTGCTTTCAAGATTTAGGAAAGTAGAGAAATCCAGGTCCACCTGACTCTTTTGATACATTAGTATCACGGGATAGGCTGGAATTGGTCACGGACTGTTTTCCCACCCACATTTCAAACTAAGACCACCATGGAGCCAGCCAGTGTATTTTAATGATGAAATACAATTTAAGCCCATGTTACCCAAGTGTGGCAGGTGAACCAGCAGCATCTGAATCTGCTGGGGAGCTTTAGAAATGCTCATGCTCAGACTCTACTACAGACATACTGAACGAAAGTCTCTTAGCAGGGCAGAGATGGTAGTGGGGGCAAGGTCCAGGAATGTGTATTTTAGTCACCTTTCCAGGTGTCCTATGTGCAATAACATTGGCCAAGTGATATTTCAACCATCCTAAAAGGAAAGGCCCTGATCCATTTAGAAAGAGGTTTTGTGTAAGAAATGTGGCTAAGCCACATTGCAACCTACATATTATTGGACAAAATAGTCTGTGCCTATGTAGCTGCTACACAAGGAAAAGGGACAAGGTGGAGTGAGTCCACAGGATGGGGAGAGGTGTTTAACGGCCTGTTTGGGGAAGAGGCATTTTATGCCTGATCACCAGGCCCCAAACCCACTTTCAGTTTGAAATGCCCCCGTGGCTCAGCCTGTAATTCCGCGCCTTTGGGAGGCTGAGGTGAGTGGATTGCCTGAGCCTGTGGGTTCGAGACCCGCCTGGGCAGCGAGACCTCATCTCTACAATAACTTAAAAAATCAGCCAGGTGTGGTAGCACATGCCTGTAACTCTGGC